CTTCCAAATCATTTTTTCAACATTCTAGGAACTTCAACCAACATTTTGTAATGCATGATCTTGTGCATGATTTGGCAACATGGCTTGGTGGAGAATTCTATTTTAGAACTGAAGTAATTGGGAAAGATACAAATATTGGTACCAGGACTCGTCATTTGTCATTTTCCCAGTTCAGTGATCCAATCTCAGCAAACTTTGATATTTTTGGCAGAATAAAATGTTTAAGAACAATCTTGCCAATCTATTTTTGGAATGATCCATTCAAAAACGAAAAAGCTTCAAGTTTCATTTTGTCAAATTTGAAGTACTTGAGAGTTTTGAAATTTGACAATTTGAAGGTCTTGATGCATTTCTTGATTCAATAGATGAACTAATCCATTTGCGTTATTTGGACCTCTCTTACACGTCTATAAAGATGTTACCTGAGTCATTATGTAACCTGTATAATCTACAGATGTTAAAGTTGCACCAGTCTAAGCGTTTAACAAGGCTTCCCAATGACATGCAATATCTTGTAAATCTGCGTCATTTGGAAATCTGGGGAACTAATGTAAAAGAGATGCCTAGAGAAATGAGCAAATTGATTAATTTGCAACATTTGGGTTGCTTTGTCGTGGGAACACAGGAAGAGAAAGGGATCAAGGAATTGGGAACACTTTCAAATCTTCACGGGTCACTTTCCATTAGGAAGTTAGAGAACGTGACCAACAGCTTTGAAGTATTACAAGCAAAGATAATGGATAAAGTGTACCTTGATAAATTATCGTTTGTATGGTCTGAATATGCAAAGAACCATTTTACAAGTTCACAAAGTGAGATGGATTTACTTGGAAAGTTACAACCTTCCAAGAATCTGAAAAGACTAGATATTCATGGATTGGACATCTTTCCTACCAAAATTTGACTGAGGTATCTCTGTCTGGTTGTTTGAACTGTTGTATCCTTCCATCACTTGGACAATTATGCTCTCTCAAGGTCTTGACAATCAGTGAAATGAATATGCTAGAGACTATTGGATCTGAATATGACGATACCTTTTTCAGGGACATACTTTCCTTCCCTTGAAAGACTGCAGTTTGATGAGATGTCATGTTGGAAAGTGTGGCATCATCCTCATGAGTCAAATGCTTGTTTTCCAGTTTTGAAGTCTATTGGGATTATTGATTGTCCCGGATTACATGGGGATTTGCCATCTTATCTTCCTGCTTTGAAAACAATTCATATTGAAGGATGCAACCAGCTTATTTCTTCTCTCCCAAGGGCTCCTGCCATCTGCAAGTTATACATTATTGAAAGCAATAAAGTAGCATTGAATGAGATACGCCTTTCATTGGAAGAGTTAAATGTTGGATGAAGAGAGGTGACAGAGTCTGTCTTTGAAGCCATTGCCATCACCCCACCAATTTCTCTTAAAAAATTAGTCATCAACAATTGTTCTTCTGCGATATCATTTCCAAGAGATTGTTTACCCTTATCCTTAGAGAGTTTGTCCATCACAAATTCTAATAATCTAGATTTCCCAAAGCAAAATCACAGGCATGAATCACTCAAGTATCTTTGTATAAGTAGTAGTTGTGATTCTCTCATAACCCTCCCACTGGATACCCTTCCCAACCTCCATCTTCTGAAAATCAACAACTGTGAAAACATAGAATGTCTTTCTGTTTCAAAGGTTCTTCAAAATCTCGTTGAGGTTGAAATTATTGACCGCCCCAAATGTGTATCATTCCCAAAAGAAGGACTGTCTCCACCCAACTTGACATCATTGTATGTCTCCAACTGTGTCAACTTAAAGTCACTGCCTTGTCACATAAATACTCTTCTCCCAAAGTTAGTAAGTTTGTGTATATATGATTGTCCAAAATTGGAGACGTTTCCAGAAGGGGGTATGCCGCCTAGCTTGAGAACAGTTTGGATTGGGAATTGTGAAAAATTAGTGATGAGCTATCTCTAACTTCAATGGACATGCTTACCAGTCTTTAAATTGATGGTCCATGTGATGGTGTCGAGTACTTTCCCAAGAAGGGTTATGCATTGCTGCCTCCCTCCTTTACCTACTTGAATATATATGACTGTTCAAGCATGCACACGTTGGACTGCACGGGGCTTATCCACCTCACCTCCCTGCAAAAATTAACAATTAGATACTGTCCCAAGCTGGAGAATATAGTGGGAGAAAGGCTGCCTGCTTCTCTAATAGAACTTAATATCTCTGCATGTCCTTTGCTGAAAGAACAGTACCGCGTGAAATACCCGCAAATTTCCGACATCCCTGGCATTGTAGTTAACGAAAAATAGATTTAGTAAGCTTGAAGTTGGTTTGCAGTTGGTCATATGGACACTTGCATCAATTAAACTGCAGAGTCAAAGCAAACATTTCATTTCACATTTTCAGGTTATGATTATTCAAGGACGAATGTCTTTGTTTTTAGGACAATGGATATAATTGTCTAATTGTATGACCAGGAAGTTGTCTAGTCTTAAAAATATCATTTTCTTTTGTCTTACAAATACAGATATTGAAGCGGCTTACTCCCACGTTGATTATGCGTGGAATATCAATCAATCATGGCTATGGTTTGTACAATCAAGTAAGTTCTTTAACTTCCCTTCTAATGTACATATAGTGTATATGTGTCACACTTCATTTTGAGGATGATGTTTTCACTAAACTTATTATCAGCATCTTATTTTGTACATTTTGGTGTCAACATTTTTTTTTTCTAGTGATGTAACATTTCTGGAAAAGAAGCTGGCATCAAAATTTCAAACTTAGACTAAAAGGACTCTAATTATTTATTCATTTTAAAATGGTGTACATCATCAATTGCAGGATCCATTACAGAAATGTTATGCTGCCGTGACTTAAACTGAATTTGATGCTTCTAGAAATTGCTGATGCTATTATTGGTCTGCATTTTGTTGACTTTTATTGGAGTTGACAATGAAATAGAATAGAGTGATGTTGTGCTGGTTTGTTGAAGGAGTGGATTAATGGTGTAACAAGGAAATGTAAATCCAATTCTTACCGCCATCTAACTTCCGAAACCTTATCACGAAGATTGATTGGAAAATCTTCAAATTAAGTTTCGGCATAGAATCTAATGGACGAAGATCCAGAATTAATATTACTGAAAACTTAGGCATCAAAAGGCTGGTTAGTGGTTAGAGCATACTGCATACATCTATAATGCTGAAGATGATCTATTGCTAATTCCTTGCCAGCATGAAGCCATGAATTAGCTTACTGTGTCATGGACTCATGGTATTGTTTCCCTAAAGGCTTGTCGTCCGGATAAACTATTTGTAGTAATCACCGAAAACTGGGAATCCGACCAAGAAACAACTCAGCTGCAGTTTGCCGTTGTCCCTCCTTATCAAAATTGTCCCTTCATGATAACAACTTCCAATTTTGAGTAATGGTTTATAAGATGCATCATTGATTACAACTTACAATTAGGTATTGCCGTGTTTCTTAGTAGCACAAATTTCTGAAACTAATTAGGCATCATTGATAACAACTTACAATTTTGAGTATTGGTTCTTGGTTTTGTTTATGCTAAATCTATTTCCATAAACATCATCATGATTATTTAGCATTGACTTTTACTTGGTTTCTTTAATAGAATTTTCTATCGAGTAATAAGCAGCATATGACATCATATGAAATGTGATTTTTGGTGGAAACATCATATTTATACTTTCTGGTTTTATTTAAGGAAAATGATGTGAAAATTCCATTTGCGCTTTCCCACTTTCAAAGATGATGAGTACTCCCTCCGATCACTTCTATAAGCAAAAATTTATTTTTCAAGTTTATTAAATAATCAATGTATTTGGTCTATATATATATATATATATATATATATATATATATATATATATATATATATGTATATATATATATATATATATATATATATATATATATATATATATATATGTATATATATATATATATATATATATATATATATATATATATATATATATATATATATATATATATATATATATATATATATATATATATATATATATATATATATATATATAATCAAGATATATTGATTATGCAATGAACCTGAAAAGTGGATTTTTATTTATAATAGTGTGGAGGGAGTGTATTAGTATTGGTTTAACGAACGATTATTAAATTACCCGACTAATTCTACATCACAAGCTGTTAACTGTATTTTAAGGGAATACATGTTTGTTCAGGTTGACTAGCCCAGATCCAGGATTATATGGAAAGCTAAGAGACATCTACTAATGTGATGCAAGGTTTGTTGGCATTGTTATTTCGTAAATTAAAATCAAATTGTTTTTTTGATCAGCTTTGAGTGATTACTTTAGGTAGGGCGCTATCCTAAGATTGTTTGGCCCATCCTGTTATGTATCAACTGAAAACAGCAAGGATCTTGCTAACGCATGCCCTTTTTGTGGGGGGAATAGAAATAATGGCAACATGGAGTAGTGCAGAAATTTTCCCTTTATGATAGAAAGGTCCATAATTTTCTTTTGTATATTCTTCTATGTTGGGACTTATTTCCTTGAGCTCGAACGGGCACATCAGGACCACATTTCACATGTGAGGCCTGGGTCAGCATTTGTTCTGTGCATACATTAAGATTGGTTTCTCTGATTTTTTAATACATTATTTGACTTTCTGTTATTCAGGTACATTAAGATTGGCTTATACCAATTACCTTTTAACAATTTGTAATACAAAACTTGTTTCTTGGTAGAAAAGCAACCCCCACTCTCAAGCAACTTCTTTGTATTGTCAGTAGTCTAGCTGTACAAATCAATAATGCCAATTGTACAAAACTAAATAGGATGGAAAATTAAGAGTCTAAAAGTCAATGGCCCATCAAGCAAAATTAAATGTTAATATGAATGATAACCACATACTCTACTCAGTTATTTGTTTATAACCAAAATCTTGATCAATTAATCCTACTCCTCAATTAGAGCTCCTAGGAAGGAAGAAACCGAAAATGAAGTTTCATAAGGAGTATCTGGATTTGATTTTGGTCCCTTGTGGATTGCTAATCATGTTTGCTTATCACCTCATTTTGCTTCACAGATACATCATTCGACCTCACACCACAGCCATGGGATTTGAAAACAATGACAAAAGAGCATGGGTTGACAGAATTATGCAGGCAAGTAATAATCCTGACCATTCCTATAATTAATTTGAAAGTTGAAACCTCTTGTTTTTATTATTTTAAGCTTGTTTTTAAACTTTGCAATGAATGATCAGGCTGAAAAAAGGGATGTTAGCACAGCTTTATCTGTTATTCAATCCAACACATCAGCTGCAACATTCTTGGCCTCTGTTTCTTTGACTCTTTCTTCTCTAATTGGAGCTTGGATTGCCAATAATTCCAATATTTTCTTCCAGAGTCAATTAATCTATGGTGACACAAAAGCAGCCACAATTTCCGTCAAGTACATTTGCTTACTAACATGCTTCCTCCTTGCTTTCTCATGTTTTATTCAATCAGCAAGACACTTTGTTCATGCAAACTATTTGGTAAGCATACCAGATAGTTTTGTTCCAATTAGTAGTGTCGAATTAGCAGTCATAAGAGGTGGTGATTTTTGGTCACTCGGTCTTCGAGCTCTCTATTTCGCACTAAACTTGCTTCTTTGGTTTTTCGGTCCAATACCTATGTTTATTTGCTCATTGGTTATGGTTATGGTTCTTCATTATCTTGACTCCAACTCAAGGCCACTGCATCTGCATCCTCCTAGGTCTCAGGGTGGCAAGTTTCAGACGACAAAGAGCAATGGAATCAACAATGTTTGATAATGAAGCGCAAATTCGGTGATATTGATGTATGAAAAACAATGTATCGTGTTCTTCTCGATGATTATATGATTACATCAGAATTTTCTCAAGAAAGCAATAAAAATGAAAAATAAGAGTAAAGGGTTGAATAACATGGAATATATTTCTTAGAAGCAAAGATTTGTCCAACACCACACATATAGTTAATTACTTGTAGCACAAGTTAATTAACTTGCTTTCACTAAGACGAATTGGATAAGACATAAACTCCTAAATAACACAAAACGTATGAATTTCTAACTTATTCCATAATTGATAGTGGAGATAACTTATAACCTATCTAAAGAAATTATTTGAAATTATGTGTCTTTGTTTTTTTTAAAATATTTTTAGCTCTTCAGATAAGAGCTCTTATGAGGAAGGTAGCTTTAAAAAATATGTGGTGAGAAAAAGTTACAAAGCTTAAAATTGGTTTATAGAAATACTTACAAATAATTTATTAATAAAGAAGTTTTCACAATACTAGAGAGAATGGAATTATAAGTTAACTCCTTAATAAACTTTTATTAGTGATTAAAGTTGTTCGTGATACAATTTAATTAAAAAAAATTAAATCGAATTAGATTATAATAAAAAATTATTCAAACTTAACTGTTTTGATTTATCTAGAATCGAAGTGAACCAAAATTATTAGTATAAATTCAGGAGTTTATGAAATCACTAGAAGATAGTTTTTTTTCAAAAGAATCAATTATTATAGAACCAAATTGTTTTTTTTTCAAAATTTTTGTTATAAAATTTTTTTAACTTATTTTTAGTAAATTTTTATTTTTAATTTTGGTTTGATCGTTATTTGCTTTGATTTTAAAACAGTTTTTTTAACATAAATTTAGTTCACTAACTAAACATAATAGTTTTGTTATTTCAGCTTTAATTCAGTAATTTTATTTGATTCGACGTTTTTTATATACAGTCTTATTAGCAATTTTTTAAATCAATTATTTGATAGTAATCACAAGAGAATAATAATAGAATAAAGTATCAGTAGAATATAAAAAATTAACTGGGTAGTTTGATCATATTTTTGTCTCTCTAGTTAAATTTTTATCATAGCTTTGATAGGATAGAAAAGCACTTCCTCAAATACTCATAACTAAAAAATATTAACAATTAATCTATATTAATAAAACTATTTAAAATAAAAGTTTAAAAGCTATACGTAAACTTTGTTTACATAAAAATTAGAATTTAAATCGCATATAAAATCACAGAAACAAATGGTTGTAATATATTGAGGGTGTAAAAACTTTACATAACAATTAATCTTTGAAAATTATATGTAATTCTATAATTTACAAACCTCCCGTAGAATTTCTCAATCCATCTCACCATATATTTAAAAAAAATTTAACTAAAATTTCCATATTTTAAATAGAGGATTGAGAGTTTGGATTTGAAAGTTTGGGCTAACTGGACAATTTGAATTGGACTATTTTTGGAGATATTATCATGTTACGTTACGTTTGATCTGCACCCCCGCATATTTTTATAAATTATAATAATGATAAAATTATCCCTAAAATTATTTATTTTTCAAAAAAATACCTTTTATCAAAAAAATATCATTTTAGAAAACTGGTAAGAAAAAAAATCTGATATTTAATTAGAAATATTCAATACTAAATTTTTTTGAAAAAGGCGAAATGAATTCAATTTTATCGGAATTTTAAAAATCCCGTATGAGTTTTTATCGTTTTTCTAAATTTGGTATTTTGTTGCATTTATACCGATTTTTTTTTTAATTTGGAAATTTATGGAAATTAAGTTTGTATTTATCAGATATTTTAAAATATCCGAGAAACATTGAGAAGTTTTAGATTTTTGGAAAAATCTAGTATACCTCATATTTTGCAAACAGTAAAAACTCGGGTAGTTCAGAATGCTTCATATGTCTAGTTCAAATTCCAATGGTTTCCCTGCAGATTTTACACAAATTTTCACCACTAACGTTGTATGTTTTACGTACATGTTTAATTTTTATGTTATTTCTGACATTGACAATTTATTCTGTATATGTCATAAATGACAGATATTTCTCTCCCGAGCTGACGTGTTAGCATGGGAATAGTCCGTTGGTAAATAATACGATATTATTATTGTTACTATTCGTTATGATACCACAAATGGGATAAGAGGGAAGAGAGATAAATTAATTATAGATTGTAAGAGAGGAAGAAATTACAAGAAGACAAATTCTTCTGATGGAAGTTATGCCTATAGTATGAAAGTTAAATTTCCATTTATGTTGAGATTTGTGCCAAGTGGTAGCGTTTGAAAGGTTATGGTTAGGTGTGGGTTTCACAATCATATACTATCCAAGGACTTAGATGGTCATGACGTATTAGATCGTTTAAAAGATAATGAAAGAAATTTTGTGAATGACATGATGAAATACAATATAGCTCCCATATACATAATTGCTACTTTGAGAGATAGAAATCCAGAAAATGACGAGCGTTATCCAGGTGCACAAGGCAAGATATACATACAAGACGAGCAAGAGAGATCTGTTGACTGAAATGCAACATTTGATGAGTCTTATTCATGAAGAGAAATACATATATTGGACTAGAAACAAAGACAATTCAAATCTTGTTGTTGATATCTTTTTGACGCATTATGATTCAGTGAAGTTGTTGAACATATTTGATTTGGTGATGATTTTTTATTATATACAAAACAAATAGGTATTGCATGCTCCAATTGCTTCTATTTTCATTTATTTGATTCTGGGTTAGAAGTTGTTGATTATTTGTTGTACATACAAAAAAAACAGGTATCGACTACCACTAATTGAGATTGTTGATGTTACATCCACGAAGTTGACGTTTTCGGTTGCATTTTCATATATGGAACATGAAAGTGAGGAAAAATTCACATGGGCACTTGAGAAACCGAAAGAGTTGTTCGCTTTCAAGAATTTGCTACCGAAGGTTTTGGTGACGGACCGTGAACTGGCGTTGATGAATATTGTCAAAGTCGTGCTCCTAAACTCAACTCATATGTTTTGTTATTCTATATTTCAAAAAATATTATTAGAGAATGTAAGGAGTATGTCAAATCACCTAGGCGTGAACATGTTATGGATCTATGGAACAACATCATATATTCGAATAAGGAGTCTGAGTTTTTGGTACACTTTGTGCATTTTGAGGTTGTATGTGTTGATATTCTTTTATTAGTTTAGTATGTGCACGAAACTTGGTTGACACCCCATAAAGAAAGATTTGTTACTGCTTAGAGTAATAGAGTCACTCATTTAGGGAACAATACAACGAACAAGTACATCGATGTGACTTTGAATATGGCTACATTATTAATTATCAAATAATGACATCCTTTTTATATTTATGTTTTTTAGGGTCGAGTCTACTCACTGGAGACTAAAAGACATGTTAACATCTAGCAGAGGAGACTATGTATAGATTGGGATGTTATAAACTCCATGTTGAAGTTGCAATTAGGTTCAATTAGAGTATCATTTCAAAAAAGTATTTCCAACATTGAGCATCAGTATAACACTCTATTTTACTCTAGACTGCACATCTTCATTTCAAGACAGTGTGTGCAACATGTTGGAAATGATCTAGAAAGGGTAAAATTCATTGGTTGTGACAAAGATGCACATGGTTTCTTCAATAGAACAACGCATGGGTTACCTTGTGTGTGTGAACTTACAGGTCTTCAAACTCAAGGTCATATTTCTTTAGAATCGATTCATGTGTTTTGGAAGAAATTATACATTGAGGAGCATGAGGTCACTCAAGAAGATATTCTTGAGTGAGAAAATTGGATTTAGAAGAAGAGTGTGAAGATTTAAAGAGGTATTTGAGTACACTGGATATTGTAAGCCAGAGAGTGATGAAGAAAAAATTTAGGGAACTAACACATCCCATTCATAACTTTCATGTGCCCACCACCTGTGAAGTATAAGCCAAAAGGGGGAAATAAGAAGAGTAAAAAGGATGAAGAGATTGATGTGCATCGTGATCTTTCGTAGTGTGAGTGTATGTTGAGGTCTCGTAGGAAATTTAGACTACAAAGATATAAGGGTGGAAATAGGTCAGACCTGAAATTCTAGGTACTAACAGTGGATGTTACCACGAATGTTATAACATCCACAATAACATAGACTACTGAACTACTGAAACAAATTGTAAATGGAAAGTAGTAAATAACACAGTAATTATTCACCCAGTTCAGTGTCAACAACACTTACATCTGGGGGCTACCAAGCTAGGGAGGACATTCACTATTAGTAGAATTAATTCAGATTCAAACACCCAGCTTGCACTCTTCGCTTAAGACCTACCCAATGACACTTCATCCTAGAGACCTCTAGACCTGAGTTTACCCAATCACTCCCTCTCAATCACCTCAGTGATATCAATACACAATTACAAAATAGATATGAAGATACACTTCAAAACACACCTTGATCTTGCTTCACAACTTTGATCAAGAGACACACACTCTTGCTTAACAACTTTGAGTGACACAATGAACACAAAAGTTCATACACACTAAACCAATGCAATTATACAATAAACAATTGTTTGGCATACAAGTATCCTAAGACACACGTGAAGAACAACAATTCTTCACTCACACAATTCACGTGAAGAACAAACTTCTTCACTCACAAAGTTCACGCAGTGATCTCTCTGCTAATTCCCCTATTTATTAAGGTTCATCCTCTTGTTATTTATAGCAGCAAATATCCTTTGGGCCTTTGTGCAAAATTTAGGTTTACCCATGACAAACCTCTCTTCAAGAATCTGCACACTTACCATTTAGGTCAGGGACATTTTATTTCGCCAGAGCTTCTAAAATGTTTCCTGACTTCCAGCTTGAGCTTCTAAAATGTTTCCTGAATTCTAGATACCAGAAAACTAAAACTGCACGCCTAATGTCATACGCTCAAAGTCATAACATTCAGTATGACATCCAACTTAACT